AGGGAGGGGGGGATATAAATTAAATAATAAATAAATAGTATACACACTATTGTTCTGATCTCTACATCGTTCCAAAAATTCCTGTGATGTCTGCAAGAACAAGGCAGAAAAGATGCTCTGTGCCGAAGCTAAAATCCCCCCAAATGTCATAAAATGTATCTTCCATTGGAAGTGTTTATGACTATGTGCTTATCTCACAACTTAAAAAGTCTCTACAGATTCAGTACCTGATAGGAATGAATTCATCTCCTCACTTGATGTCATCCAGGTATGATGAAAACAGTCGATCCATGGACAGGGGGTATCCAAGAAAGACAAGAGAAGATTTTCCTGGGATTGGCCCCAAGGTTGACGCTGCTTTTCAGCATAATGGTGAGGACAAATGTTCTATGTAAACTTACACTTGATAGGGACTTGAAGCACAGAATCACATGATCATTCCTACCTACTGCAGCCCACAATAGCTAAGTTATTGCCCGGTAGTGTAATCCATGTCTTCTGAAAAGACCCACTGTGTGATAGGGTTTAAGCAAGTTGAATCAAAACCGTTAACACTGGACTCCTTCACAGAGTAGGTACAAAAGTGATTATTAAAGGAAGGGCAAAAAAAATGGAATTGCAAACCCATCAGTGTTCTTCTTTGTTGGAATAATCTAGAGATCAGTTTTGGATTGTTACAAATCTGCTTATATAGTGGTAGGAAATGTGCACACCTCCAGTATCTATTATTGCTCTGATCAGTCCAGCAATGTAAGCTCCAGAGTATAAACAGATGGCCAGACAAGGATATGGGAGCTGTGCACAAATTTTCCATCCTGTAGATATCCCCAGCATTCAGTTGTGTATGCACCCAGGAAATGAGAGATGATGGGCAGGGGAGGGGAGGGGGACGGGACTTTTGCTGCAATCCTAAGAACAATTTCCTTTGAGCAAGTCCCACTATGTAACACGGGACTTGCATCTGAGTAGATCTGCTTAGGCTTGCCCCTGCGTTAAGTCCTGTGGTGTCCTATTTGTACCCACATACATTTATTTATACCCTGCATTTCTCCCAGTGGAGACTCAGAACTGTTTACAATAAAGAATACCAAAAAAAATACAAACAGGTAAACAGGAGGAGCACAAAGGCTTCAAAGAGCAGGGTAGGTCTTCTTCTCTCTTCTCTCTCCTCCTGTCCTTCTGCTGGTGGATCTTCGTGCCACTGCATGGTACAACCCTTAGGCTGCCAGCCAAAGACAAGCACCCTTTGACTCTTGCCATTTGGCTCACACCTCTGGGCACGGCCAGGCCTTAAATACCTGCCGCAGAGGAGAAACACACTCAGCTAGATGTTCTTCAGCTGCTTCTAGACAGCTAGCAGGATCTTCCCTACTTCCTCCCTTGCCAGCACTGGAGACTGGATCTTACCTAAACAAGCTCCTGATGAAAAGGATTCCCAAAAGAACTTTTGGGAGGGCAACCCAGGAACATTGGTTGTCCTGTTTCACAATGATCCCTGGTTTTAACAATCTTCTTTCCTTTATTTTTAGGATTCTTCTATTTCTTCCATAAGTCAAAGCAGTGGGAGTTTGACCTAAATAACAAACGAGTGACTCGTGTAATGAAGAGCAACAGCTGGCTTAATTGTTAGCATTAAACAACTTAGTATTTAGCAGGGCTTTTTTGTAGAAAAAGCCCAGCAGGAACTCATTCGCATAACAGGCCACATCCAACAGCAGAAACCCATTAGCATATTAGGCCACACCCCTGACAGCACAGCTCATTCACATATTAAGCCACACCCCCGTG